TTGACACTAGTCAGGCTTTTGGTGATAGCGAGGAAGGGTGGCTGGACTGACCGCTCTGTGACAACCTCTTGCTATTATCTTGTACTTACAAACCTGACTCAATTGTTTTTTAAGTAAATATATATATGAAGACTTTACAAATGGCGTCTGCAAGAGTTAGAATCCCAGATTTCAAAAGATTCAAATTACTTTTCTTCTGGTCTGCAATAATACTGGCATTCGCAGGTGTGGTAATTAATATCATGTTATGTTTATGAATTATAATTATGTCCTCGCTTGCATTGGTATAAGCAAGAACATGCAAGGATACACCAGAGGAGGCAAAACCATTATTCTGTTAAAAAAAAAAAAAAAAAGTTTACACCGTTTATCTTGATATTTCTCCAAGGCGGTTTTCATGCCTCCACAGTAATCAAAAACATCAGTTGCAAATCAAGACATGTAAGTACAAAATTTATCCTTAAAAGCGATCCTTTCACGTTCTCCATATCTTAAAGCTGTGTTGCATGTAGCCATATGCTGTCCAAAGGAATCTCTACGTCTCCCCCGCGTGGCAGTAACGTAACAATTGGGTGTCAGTGACTTGCACTTGCAAGTAGTGTAACGTTTCTACAACACCCCCTCCCGCCCCTTCCCCCCTCCCTCACTTTGTACGGTGTGAGGAAGAAATTCGTTCTGCATTCTTTGTGTGTGGGTTAAAGGGGAACTACTAGCATTTGCTTTGATCAATTTTGAGGACTCATTGTTTTAAACTATGTGTGGAATATTTTTTTTATAATTGTGTGCGTGTGTGAGTTAAAGGGATATAACTCATATAAGCCTTTAACGAGTTTTGACAGAAAATTAATTGGATCTAAACAAATTTTCACCGTGTACATACAGTGTGTTCAAGTCTGTGAAGTCGATTCCGGGAAGCGAAAACCTGTGGCATCTTTATCAACTAGTGATAGGCAGACAGGAAATGTTCCTAGACCGTGGTTCTCAAACTGGGGGTAATGTTGTCATTACTAGGGGTTAACGATAACCTTTTTTGAGGTAAGATTACTGATATTTTCGTAAAGAATTTCCCCCTGACTTTGCAACTATATCTATTATTATTAATTAATTATCAAAAATCCATGCCTCCATGTTTGTGATAAAAGGAACTATGTTGTAGTTTTATTTATTTAGTTATCAAAGGAAAAACGTCTAAATTCTTTACATAGGGAAAAACTTGCCTATAAAATGCATTAGAAATTAGACATTGCGATATTTTTCGCTTCATTAACTTCACGAATCAGAAGAGGAATGGATCAGGCTTATTGGTTCTCTGTCAAAACAATGTGAAGGGATAATGATAGAAAATACTTTTAGAATCACTGTGAAGGGGGGATAAAATACAACAGGAAAAAGAATACCTTGAGAAGGGATAATCTGTCCTACTTTTAGAACTTAATCTGAGACAAGAGCCGAAAGAGATAGAGAGAGAGGAGAGAGGAGAGAGAAGAGAGATGAGAGAGACGAGAGGAGTGAGAAGAGAGAGAGAGAGAGAGAGAGAGAGAGAGAGTAAACAATATACACGCGCCAGTTTTATTCCTTAACCGTTTATCACTATCAATCTCATTTTATTAAAATTCTATGACAACTGGCAAGGAAAATGTAATTCTGTTATTGTCGTTCATGTTATTATTTTTATTATTCTGTTAATTATTGTTGTCATTATCACCATCATTATTATTGCCACTATTATTATAGTTATTATTACTATTATTATTAATATTATTATTATTGTTACTACTACTGCTACTAGTACTATGATTGTTATCCTTATTATTGATATTATTATTGTTACCATTATTATTATTTTATTTATTATTATTATTATTTATGATTATTATAATCATTTTATTATTATTAGATAATCATTGATATCATCATCATCGTCGTCGTCACCATCGTCATTCACATCATATTAATAACAATTATTATTATTATCATCATCATCATTATTACTATCATTATTATAATTAACATCATTTTTTTACATATTTTTTATCATCACCATTATTGCTGTTATTACTGTTAAAATAATTTTATAAGTAGTATAGCTGATAACAATAATGTTTGTTGTTTTCACTTTCTATTAACGTAGGAATAATTATTAGTCGAATCTACTTTCATAACCATCAATATTATTTTATTACTATCATATGTAGTTTATAAAATATTGCTGTTGTAGAACAATCATTTCTTGTACTTAAATCTCTATATTCTTACTGAAAGCGTTATGATTTGAGTTAGTGGGTCGTGTTATTTCGATAGTCTTTATAACTATAAATTCGTGGCTCGTACTATTCATACTTGAAGTGCTATTTCTTTCCAGGCTGTTGAGTTCTTTATTCTTTTATTTTAGTTCATTTCTTGTAGTCATTGTTTGGGGGAATTGGAACAAAGTTCGTGCAAAAAGTACTAATGATTTGAAAAAAAAAGTTGAAAAGGTATTAAAGGAATTATGCAATGGTAATTAAACTCGTATTAATGATGAAGATAATTCTGAGGGCGATGAAAATGATACATTAATTATATCAAACAATTAAGGCAGTAATAACAGTGATAATCCTAACATAATGACAATTACCGATTATAATGATCGCATAATAACAGTACTAATACCGGCGGTGATACCATAACAACAGTAAAGAAAGGTGCTAGTGATGTAATGATAAAGATCGAGCGAGTTATATAATATTAATCAGAGTGATAATAATAGTGCGCTATTAATACTCCATCACCCGAAGCGCAAGCAGCAAGTACACCAGTATCTACAGGTGTAAATAACAACCCCGGCAAAAGTAATCCCAAAACAACGACTAGGCCAAACTAACCGAGAGAAGCAGCAACAAGTAATCCAATAGACGAAACGATGAGCCTTCTGCACGTGACAAAGGCATGCAATGGACTGATAAGGTTTCGTTGATTACCAAGATCACCATATTGGGAAAAAAAGAGGAATGGTGATGGAATGAAGAGGGTGGGAGGAGAGAGATGATAAACAGAAGGGCTGAGAGAAGAGAAGCTAAATGGAACAGAGAAGAGAGTGCGAGTGATGTATTATAACCTGAAGAGATGAGAGAGAAAAGAGGTGATAAACATAAAACTCGAGAGGAGAAAAGTGATAATCTACGAAGACAAGAGAGGAAATATGATAAACGGAAGATACGAGAGAAGAGAAGCGCAGGAAACGATGGCTAAGATTTATTTTTTAAGGGATCGCGTTTTAATACATCAATCTACATATTCTCGCAAACGTATACGGAAATAGTATAGAAAAGCGGGGTGTAGGCCTATCCCCTACAGTGAAGGAATTTAACCTTATCCAGTAAAGTGGAATAGATTCAACTATTCTAAGCGTTATATTATTGGCAGCTTTCCGTCCAGAAAAAAACGGATTTCGAGTAGGCGATAAGCCCATAGCAACCGCCATGACCTTATATAGAGAGCGATGACGTCATAGCCCGACTTTCGCATCACGTCTAGGTTATATGCTTAATAATTAGAATAGAGACATACGGAGCACATTCTAACACGTGTATATTTACACATGGACACGCGTCGTGAAATAAACACCTAAAGAGGTAATGATGGTAATTTCACCAACCTTAATTATTACGAAAACGCATACGTAATTAGACCGGCTTTTCTGTAACAGGCTTGAACGAATCTCGCCTGCTTATTCCGCTTCATTTACAACCGAGCTCTCTTCTGCTATGGATTTTGAGCATGTGACTGTGTTATCTCGATTGCTATAGCTATTTTAGAAAGGTCTCCGTGTGATTAGGTGTCTATAGCTGCTGATAGATAGATTATCAAGCCTTCACGTGACCTTTCAGATCAACCAGTTGCGCCGGATAAAGGTGAACTTCGCGATATTCGTTAAAAAAAAAAAAAAAAAAAATGTGTGGATAAATTCAGCCACTTGGAAATCATTTTGTAATGCACGTTTTTTTTTTTTTTTCCATTTTCATTTACACGTAAATTTACACGTTTTTTCTTTATTTTTTATTTACATTTGTTTTCTTTTTCATTTTTTATTTACCCGTAAATTTACACGTTTTTTAATTTTTCCTTTTGAATTTACACGTAAAAAAGGGTGGATGATCCTCACGTTTCACTTATCTGTGCGTGACTTCATCCACCGGCCCACATATCGACATGCACTTGCCCCCATTTTGCACAATGTGTCATCATTGCCTTCCCAGTCATGAACGTAATCCCATAAGTAAATCTGAATAAATAAAATCTGAAGCGTGTCTCTATCTATTTGATAAATATCTACTTGTTGCATATTGTATTCCACGCTAGTCCTTCAGTTTAATCATTTGACTTATGCTCTAGTATATTTTTACTGAATTGGCGGATATGTTTTGCTCTCCGAATGCGCAGTCAACGTCCCGAGGTTTGTGAATGCGCAATCAATAATTTAGCGCGAGGAAAGTATAAAATAGATATGCGATAACGTTGCAGGAGGTTTTAACAAGTTACCCCTTGATGGTTCTCTACTTCGAACCTTTGATCAATTGCCAATAACGGTTCGAGTCAGCTCGAAGCTATGCGGGTGTTATTGCTCTTTTTCTTTGTTTGAGAACCGAAATGAACCTCTTTCTTTGCGGGTTCTTTTAGGTTATTCAAGTGAATGATAAATGGCTTATTAAACTATGAGTCAATGTTTTGGATTGAAAAACGTGTCTCTCTGACATTCTCTTTTGCTTAAGAGACAAGAGACGTTCCTTTGTCTTCAACGTTTCTCACTTTCTTTGTTTACAGAATGACAAAGTCTTACTTTTCTGCGGCATTGCGACCCCCCCCCCCACCCCCGTGATATAAGCATACCGTACATACCCTTCCGAGCTTTAAATCCACCGTAGTAACGCCCTTGTTAAGTATTCTCTTTAGGCTGAAGGATCTCCGGGTGTGCGATCATGCTGGTATTTACACCTTGAGCCATGTGAGGGGATGAGCGCGAGGCCCGTCATCCACGCTTAATACCCTTCACCTTAAACTTACCACGAACATCTATTTTTTTCTTCTCTCTCTCTCTCTCTCTCTCTCTCTCTCTCTCTCTCTCTCTCTCTCTCTCTCTCTCTCTCTCTCTCTCTCTCTCTTCTCTCTTCTCTCTCTCTCTCTCTCTCTTAGCTTTCAAGTTCGTTTCGGGACGTAAAAGAAACATACCTGTTTCGTGTCCGCTA